ACTCCTTTTTGAGTTCACCCTTTGAGATTGATCGCAATTTCTGGACTGAGGTACATTCTTCTAGCGCCTTGGCGGATCTGGGGTGCAGGGTTCTTGGCTGCTATTTCTGTTGAGACTTAACATTTTGAGATATGACTGTTGCCCACCAGCAAACAGTTTGAGCCACTCAAGGCCTCCCGGAGGCAATGGCGGGTAGTACCAATTCGCCGTGTCCAGATCTCCCGTCCCTGGCTTCGTTCCGCCATGTCCGCCTTTGGCCCAGGCACCGTCAGGTCCCCACTGCCTCGACGTTGGACGATCCAGGTGCACTGTGGAGCATGCATTCCCATACAGAAAGGCCTCCTGTTCCTGCCGGTGCGTCAGCCAGGCTCATGCGTGGATCCATCAGGCACCCGCCCTTGTGATCGCCAGCCCACCGCAGGTACTTGAACGTGGTCAACGGTGAGCCAAGGATTTGTGCTCTTTCGTCCTTTCAGTGAAGGCTTTGGAGGATGGAGCTTCGCCTAAGCACACGCCACCAGCTTTTGTCCAAGCCGACGTGCGTCGCATATCTGCAGCAATTTGCTTAGTCCTCGGACACCTCAGGTGGATACCTTCTGGCGTGCGTCTCGTCTTCATGTTGTTTGGCAACGCTTGTGAAGATCTAGGTGGCAGTTTTTGGGCCCTTTAGGTTTGCAGTGTTTGCCCGATGTCGCTGCCTTTCCGGCCACAATGTCCTGGGGCTTTCAACCCTCACACCGACCTTTCTTTCCCCTCCCTGCGTTGTCTCTCACAAGGAGAGGGCCATTTCTCTGCCTATCTACATTCCATGCGCCCATTTTCTTGGGAAATGGACTCTGTCGTTGCTGGCCTCCTCTTGGCCGTCCCGAAGAGCGAAGGGGCTGCTCTGCAAGCCAATAGCACGAGGCATTGCAGTTTCCTCTGCGCTACTCATCGTTCTGTGCTACCACGGGCTCTGCAAGAAACCATGCTGATGTGAAAACCAAGCAGATTGATTTTCTGCACAGGGTATTTGGGTATTGGGGGTTTTGGGATGCTTTGCATGGCCATCCTCTGGCTTAAAAGAGTAAAGGGCCCTCTAACGCCAACCGGCAAACCCACGTGTTGCACAGGTCCTAGCTTGCAGAATATTGTTTTTGGCTCACGCATAGGCAAGCATGGCGCCCTGTTGTACGGACTCTAAGCAATAGAATTCGTTCATAGCACCTGGCCGGCCCGACCCGGCCTTGCAAGCCATTCAAAAACACACCTTCTTAGCAACATTGCAACAAGTGATCGTTTGGTTGCGGCCCGGCCGTTTCTGTTTGGTTAGCACCATCCCCAACTACAGGGTGCGTGTGAGGAGGAACCTCAGGTGAGTTGGGCATGCAAGTATGATTCTACGCAGACGTCTACTTTCTGGACTTCGCACGGGCGTGTATGTTTTGTAAGTAGTAGACCCCTGCTTTGTTGATAGGGGGGGCATCATCGTGGGTGAAACATCTAATATACTCCGCCAGGTTCATTTCATCCAGGGCGGGTTCTCAGCCGAGGCTTTCCATCCCCCCAAAAATCCTGAGGTTGGTTAAGGGCATGATGCCGAGCCCAAGCGAAAAAGGAGGTATACGCAATACTTACTAGTAGGTGAAGCAGTTTTCAACAATACACCGATAAAGAACTGGCGGGAGAAGGGCTACAAATTGCCGAGCAGTGGAGCCATTCCAAAGCGCGCGACCGGACATTGCCGCCTTGGAGAATGCAATTTTGGTGGAAACGGACTTGGCAGCACACCTCCATTGGATCCTTCCGGCACCCCCAGCGACTTCTTTGTGGACAACACTTGGGGGACATGAGAAAATCAGTTGTTGGGCCCCTGTTTTTCTCGCGGTAAAAGCAAGTTGTGACAGTAAACCTACAAAAGTGCTTTGTTAGGACTTTAACTGTTTGCCAACCAATGGGGTGTTCCATTAAACAACTAAGAGCTAAACCTTTAGCAGGGGAGCAGAAAGCAAGCGAGAGGGGACCTTTGGCTCAAGATCGCATCCGGCCAAAGCCCGTCTCAGGACCATGGTGCAAGCCCCAGCGCGACCGATCTGACGCAAAAAACGCGGCCGAAGATGTCCGTGTCTCGTTTTTGCTCGGGAAGTCCGAAACCAAGGGAAATGCGAGATAATTCCAAGGGTTGATGCCCCATTCTTTCCAAGCATCGTTCTTTTGGAAAACCGAACGGAAATGGGAGGTAGCACTAGAATAACCGTAGATGTGCGCTGATCCTGACTTGGAAATGGCTGTTGTGAACGACTTTCGGGCCCGGAAAGTGGATTTGGACCGTCAAAGAGGACCGAAGACCGAAGAGGACCGGAGGTGAGCAGAACAGAGGGACCCCCAATAAAAGGACAAGAGCTGTTCCCCTGCTTTGGGTGGGTGGGTGGGTGGGTGGGGCTTATGCTTGTGGTTCGGAAGGGATGATCAGGTGTTTCCCATGTGAAACCCAAGTTGGTTCACTGCTGAAAGGACACACGTGACAGAGTTCTAGCCGTGACCGGGAAAAATGCAGGGTGCAGGCCCTGTCTAGGTCCGAATCGGCTTGTTTTCCGTGTGAGGCGATTAACACTTGGTTTGCCCTGAAATTCCCTCCAAAAGGGGTGCGACAACCACACAAATCGGGAAATGGATGAGTTGCACGTAAGATCAAGCTTTCGCAAACGCGGCCAAACTATTTTACCAGGGCTGCAGGTTGGCAGCCATAGGTCCTTAATTGTGCGGGGCCTCCTTCGTGTGTTTCTCCTGGCAATTGCCCGATAACAAAGGAATTGGTTTTTTTCGTCGGATTGTGTTGTTGTACTTAATCCTACCAGATGGCTTGCCACGGTGTCTTGCTACGGATTCCAGAAATAATGTAAAACACTATTTAATTGGGGTTGGACAGGACGTTTATGGACCCCTGAATAAGGGTATTAGACAGCCCTGGCAAAGTTTCTTATGAGGGCAACGATCACCCTGACCCACATGACGTCTTGGCACCCATGTTGAGCCGTTCTTTTCTGGTTGGTAATTTGACCTAGGTTCGCCATCAAACCCTGACTGAAAAAATGTGTTATTTTCCACGGAGAACCTGTTTTCGTCGGACAAACATACTGTACCAAACCGAGGTGGGTAATAATTTGGGCAGGGAGATCCGCTAGCCACAATCCAACTGCTGAGACATGGTAAGCGATTCCACCGATTCAGGGGGTAGACCCCAAGGGAAGCTTGGGGATCCTATGCTTCTTTCGCGCGCAGAACACGCATTGACCATTCGAGGTGGTACCTGGTTTGATTGGGACAAAGCCTATATAAACCTGAGCCATGTTAGTAGAGCCAAACGTCAACCAGGTAAAATGACACCGGGTCCCATGTGAGCGAAAGCTGTCGCTCAAGAGTCAAACCACTCCAGGGTTGGTCGGGAAGGTCATCAATCATATCGTAGGGATTTCAGACCACAAAAGCGTTCCTATTGAGAGAGCCACGGCCATGCCATTCACGGCCTAAGAGTCACCAACGCAGACCCGGCCAAAAAAGAAGACCTACGAAATCGCCCATGGTCGGTCGAAGTGGACGGCCACGGTGGCCCACATGTTGTTTTTTGGGGCGACTCAGCTCGGATTTTCCACATTGGCGCCCGCCAGTTTTTTTCCGCCTTTCGCGCCGCTTTTCGAGGCGAAAAGCGAAACCGCACAGAAGCTTTCGACGCTCATCGCAGGGCACTCAGCTCGGCGGAGAAAAAACACAAAACATGCAGATGGCTGCTACGCCCCCAGGCGAGCCCCCAAAGGAAACCCATAGACAGGCCAAAAAGCCCAAAGCCCATTCCCGTCGCCTCCCATCAATTACATCATTGCTGTTTTTGGTCAGAGGTACAGTACTTTCCAGCGCTGGTTTGGCGAAAGGGCGCTAAAATTGTAGTGGTTGTACCTGGTTTAGAAAAAACCAGGGTCAATGATGTTTGCGCACTGCTGCTATGTTCTTGGTACCTGGTACCCCCACCATGGATCCCACTGAAGGCCTTTTAGGTCAATTTTCTACCTGCTAGCTCCATAGTCAGAGAGTGATGAAATGAGCTGAACTATCCCTTGCGGTTTCCTTTTCGGGGATGCCTAGGTGCATCCCCAAATTTCTACGACTCTCTCTCTCTGTTTGGGTGCGTGCCTTGGATTGTCACTTGACTTTGGCTCGGCCTCCGAAAAATGTTTGGAAGCGCAAGCGCTACTGAAATGGTGCGTTTTGTGTTTTCCCGATCTCGCGCTCTGGTGGGTTCACCACTTGACAAAATCAAGCAGCCCTTGAGTCTTAGCCCAACTCGTTTTGAGACGTGTTCAAAACGCTTCCAAGATAAGTAATTGATCAGGGCCAACATCACACCCAAAACATCGTTAATATAGCCATTTGTCTTGCTGCACGCTTCATGTGATTTTGTTCGATACAACTCGCAGCTAAGAATTGGGAGGATGGATGTTTATGGTAAAGAATGAAGAGCCTCAACAACTTGTCATGGGGGGGATCTATGTCAGGGTATTAAAAATGTTTATTACACGGCGAATAAGGCCATGGCCCCTCAGAACCTCAGGGAGAGTTCTGTGGGCTTTGTGTAAAAGATGCTCATGTCTTCGACCCGGACCCCAACGGCTATCAACTGCTTTGTGAAGTGACCGTCGACCTTTCCCCCGTAACCTCCAAATACCCAGCTTCTTAGGTATGATGTCAACCCCTGACTAAAAAGAAGGTACTTTCCATGGAAAACCAAGCTTTCCAAACACGCCCCAAAGGAGCTGAGTATTTGGAGATTACGGGGTGTGGATTTGGGGCGGGGGGGGGGGTCCATTTAAGAGCCATCGGCTGGCATCAAATCGGGTTTCATCCACCGCAACTGCTGCAAGGCGAGTGCTTTATGTCAATGATGTAAGGAACTGAGAGGTTTTGCAGCCTCAACCCCATCCTTCTTTGAGGAACCCCAGATCCCGTCCCCGCAACCCAACCCAATCATGGCTATAGTTTGGGGCCAAGATGGTTTAAGAGACGAAGTCTCTATGGCCTTCTTTTTTCTCACCTAAATGTGGTGCTTCTCCATATGGATGGTTTTTTTCTTGAGGGTGAATTCTGTTTGTGTGGTTTTAAACGGCCACCAAAAAGAAAAAAACGCCGGTGTAGTTGGGTCCCAAAAACGACCCAGACCCCCCCGCCCCCTCCGATCGCCGGCTTCGCCGGCTTCAGGAGGTCGAGGACACGGCATCAGATCCCTCCACCGAGTTCAGCGAGGTTCGGATCGGGTGGCGGTTTGAGATCCGATGGACCCAGGGGACCTGGTTGCATACCCCATGCGCACCCCAACTTATAGGGGTGAATTACGGGGATTAGGGATTGGTATTGGGTGTTTTTGTCTCTGTGACCCAGGGGACCTGGTTTTGCGTACACGTGACCAGGGGTGTCTTTTTGCCACCTTTTGTGACCAAGGAATCCTTCACTGCGAGGGGGGTCGATCATTTTTTGCGCAGAAGGTGGCAAAAAGACCCCCCTGTCTGTGACCCAGGGTCTTGGTTGCGTACTAGGGTTGCTGGCAGACTGGGATTGGTCCCTATATTGCGTGTTTCAACAGGGCTTTTTGGGGTTTTCAAACAGCACGTTGTTTGTGGAACCTGGTTTTTGCGTACCCCAACTTATAGGGGTTAATTAGATTACTGGGATCAGGGATTGGTATTGCGTGTTTCAATGGGACGGAGGCATTGTGATGTTTTCAGTCGTCTGCATCCCAAACATCGAGTCCAAGTCTGCGGGTTGGATGTTGAGCTGACCAACCTGGCTTCCCAACTACCCTTTGTTCCCACTAAGATATATATATATATAATATATATATATGGTACCCCGCCCCCATGGATCTACCTTCCTTTGGAAATCACTGGTATGTGCAGTGTTTTCGGCCATATTGTATAATATATATATATATATACCACCGGTTCCTGGTCACCTTGTTGCCCCCTAGTTTCCCTTGTAGTCTGTTGGGCTCGTCAATCAACCCCATCCAATTTGAGTCGATCTGAGTCGGACGGCTGAAAATGGTCGGGTCCGATTGGCTTCAGCTCGCTTGATGTTGGCCACTGCCCGTTGCGTGAAAGCAATGTCAACTGGTCGTGGGTACCCAACTGTTGAAACCAGGTTTTGGATAGGAACACATGCTTTTGGGGGGGGGGGGGCTCGTTTTTTTCCAGGTGTCTGCTGTAGGGTAGTTTGTTGTTTGGCTGACTCAGGAGCTTGCTCGCACATCGAAAAATGTCCCCTGCTTTGAGGAAAGACTCGCCAGGCATCTGATGTGGAGTGCAGCGACTCTCAAAGCGATGACGAGCCCCCGGCCTTTTACAATGAGGACGCGACACCTTCGGAGTTGGCCCTCAAACAAAGGAGGGAATGAGGGAATGACATGAGCCATCCACCTGCTTCTTCATCAGGGAATCCCACAAATGCCTTTTGCTTCCCCACTTGGCAGGGTGGGAACTGCCTGCGATACTTGATGGAAGCCCTTCGCATATTCTCGATTTAAAGAGGACTCCAGCCCTCCGACTGCTTCTGCCTGCCAGCCCAAGCTGGCCCGAAGCAAGCTCGGGGTGCCAGTGGTTGGGCCCAGCTTTTTGCAGGGTATTTGTCAACCCCCTGACCAAACCAGGAGGTACTTTCCATGAAAAACCAGGTTTCCACAAAGGGCCAGGTCTGCATAAGGCTCAAGCGCCCCCTGTAGGTGAAGGCGGAAGCCAGCTGCGGCCAAAGTTTGTGGACCAAAAGAGATACCTGGAGTCTCCATGACCCTTAAAGAAGGGGTCATTACCCAAAATGATGGGGTCATGGGCCCATTTTTTAAGGGTCATGGAGAGTCTAGGTACGAGCTAAAAACGGCGGGGCGTGGTGGGGCCCACTTTCGTGGGAGAAGAGATGAAACCCGCGAGGACACGGTTCTCATTTTCGATTGGGACGACACGGCCCGGGGCCCCGGGCGACGAGTTGTCCACTGGAAAAGGAGTTGTTTGAAGCAGAAACAACGGGTTTTTGAAAATGCACCCTGAACCAAAACGGTTTTTTGGAGAAGGGGGGTGTCTCACACAACTACCAGATCAGGGAAAACCGCATCTCATGCCCAGCGTTTTGTGCTGGAAAGCCAGAAGGCTTTGGGGGTTCCATGAATTGAGGGCACAAAACTCAACTCCAACTGTTTCGTTTTCGCGCTAAATAGCCAACATGCTGCATCTTCCCCGAGCCAGGAGCTGATGGATGATTGCTTAATTTGTCCAGACCCCCTGTTTGGCACCCCTTTCATTCGGAATCGACAGGCAAGCAAGGCCACGTTGCATATGCGCACATATTGGACTAGTCTCCCCCTCAAAGATAAACACCGTTCAAGTACCCACATCTTGATCGCCGACTGTTCAAGTACACTTGGGGGGAGGTAGATGGCACCGGAGACTTATACACCGTCTTTCACCTTTGTAACAGGAATGGGTGTCCTAGGTTTAGAGGAATGGGTGTAAAGGGGCGCCCGTGCCCCACGTCCACGTGCTCCCGGGTCACGGCTGTCCCATGTCCGCCAGCCGCCCCGCCGAGATGTTGCCCTCCAGCTGGCTCAGCGAGCAGAAGCTGAGCCTCGACGCCCAGTCCAAGGCCACTCCTGAGCAGGAGGCCCGCGGGCGGGGGAGCGGTCGCCTGCGCGCGGCCGCTTGCCAGAGCGCCAGAGCGAAAGGGGGGTTGAGAGCTCCAAGAAAAAAGTATGTTTTTTCCTGTGAAGGGGGGAGAGGTGTCTGGCTTTTTTTGTGTGTTCGAAGGTGTGGTGAGTTTTTCAACAGAACAGGACGCCCTGAGCGTGCGCTTTTCCATGGTTTTTGTTAAAACAAACACCATGTGTTTCATAGTTTTCCCAAAAACATCAAACAACCTCGAGAAAAACAAAAAACAAGACTATGTCACATGTCCTAGCCTGAGGAGGGGGAGCATGGTCTTGGATTGTTTTGTTTTTTGGTTTTCTCGAGGTTTTTCACACTTTTCCCAGAAACATCAAAAACCTCGAGAAAACCCCCCCAAAAAAAAAACAAGACTATGTCACATGTCCTAGCTTGGGGAGGGGGAGCATAGTCTGTTTTTTTTGGTTTTCTCGATGGTTTTGATACATATTCCAAAACATCTGCTGTGGGCGTCATTGTCTGCCTGTGTGATAGATACTCTGTCTTGACTCTCATTGCATCTGATGCAAGTGGAGGGGGATAATATGTCGTTGACCAACGCCATAGATGCTACAGAGCATCTCACTCTGCGGGAACTACCCGCACGTGTACACGTTGGCCCTCTTCCGGTTGGCTCTGTCACGCCATTGACTTTGCCACTGAAAGAGAATCTTGTCTCATTTTAACATGTCTTTATCTGCTTATTTACGAGTATCTTATGCTCTCTCAGGCTTTCCTTGGCCAGTCCTTCCATCAAGCACTTTGTGGACATCATGTATGGAGTGGAAGCCAACATGATCAACATGGATAATCTCAAGGCAGTTCCATGCTCATGGACACTCCAACACGTGCCCATGCAACCCTTGTCCCTCGTACACTTATGCGCAGTATGTATATGTTATGTTTTGTGTTGTGTGCGAAACTATAATATGCGCTTCCAATCTACGGTCGCCGCCGCAAGCTTGGAGCGCGCATCAACAGGGTGAATACCAACATTTGTGAACAAGTGTTTTCCTTGTTCCGGAACTTCGCAGGCCTGTTGAATGAAATGCGTCCCAATCGTCACAAGTATTTTCTCTTGACCATGGCCAAGCGTCACAACAATGCCATCGACCAAGACAAGACCGATTACTTGCACCCCACCCGCAAGCCTAGCTCCAAGCTTGTGAAGCCATATCATTGCTCCAAGAAGACGAGGGCCTCAAGAAGAAACCTGCTATGAAGTGAGTCTGCAATGAGTAGTTGCAAATGCATAGCGCATTCTTTCGCGAGAGATGAAGGACTTGATATTGTTTGCAATGTAAGTAAGAAGGTCACTGTGTTATTGGATGTGATTGATTATGTTCAGATCTTGTTTACTTCAATCAAGAGTATGCATTGCCTTCATCCACAATCCGGTTTTGATCTAGATGCAAAGACAGTTCTGCTCAATGAAAAAGTGAAAAAAGCGCACGCTCACAGCGACCTGCTCTCTTTTTCAAGGGAGGTGTCTTGGGGATTGATACTTCTTGCATCATGCATGCAGAATGACGGGCTGCCGCAGATTTATAGAATGCTGCACTAGCTTGTAGGCGGTATATTATTCCAAAAAGCTCGCATGGAGACACGGTGGATACCCCAACACCTATTGCAAGTAAACATAGCACAACCACTTAAAACCATAGTAACCCAACCACAAGTAAAAAAAACACGGCCCCAAGCACAAAGCCATGGTAAGCCAAGCACAACCACTTGAAACCATATAGTAAACCAACCACAGCCAGGGTGATTTATCCGGAAATTCCGAGGTCTCCTGTTGATCCCTTGGCTGCAAATGTCATCGATGCCTCGCGTGTGAGGCTCAGTTGGAGACCTTGGCCGAGCACGCGGCTGAGACCCTGACGTTGGCCAAGCGTTTCGGCAAGGCGAGGAACGAATGACCGCAACCAGGGAAGTGGGGCTCACGTCCAAATGGCCGTGGGTCAACACCAATGGTACCATTTTGGGGTAGGTGCACCACCCATGTTAGTCTATTTTAGTGGGGATTGGGATGTTTACTTGGGGTACGGGGTTTTGACCCATAGCCAAATGGGTTGTTGTTTGTTTCGGGTACTTTTTGGGGGGGTGACTCCAAAAGGGTGCTCGTTTATGTTTTTTCAGGCGGTGCGTTTACAGGGAAATGAAGAGCAAGACGACCTATCTGGGGGCCTGGAGTAGGGTTGGCAGCTCTCTGCGACCTTTTCACTCTTTTTCCGGACAGCGTGCGAGTGGCCATTGCGCGGGTTTCTGGACGCCCTTCAAGGTGATCAAGTAGTGCACGTACCAAGGGAAGCCCCTACAAAGTGGCCACGTAGTCTTGGAATCCCACGTTGGCTTCACAAGGGGAATGTCGCACACAATCAGGATGCCATGTCATCTCTTGTACATGCCGAAATGGCGCATTCCGTGACCAAGGCTTGCTCAAACTTGCAACATTCAACGGTTTCCACCGAAATCTTGAGTCCTGCAAGCACCCGCTACACAAAAAAATGCCCACGTGTGTAGGTCGATGTAACCACATGTTACATTAGGCCTGAAAGAAGCCGGATATTTGGAGTAGAGGGCGTGCCTTGAACCAAATCTGATGTGACTCGCCTTCGCCTCTCCTTGCTGTCGGTTCTCGGCAACGTGGTTGAGCTGTGCGTAAGAGCAGAAGACGAAATTCAAGTATCCTCATTACTCGAGGATTGTCCAAGGACGAGGCGGTTGTTGTTTTGGTCACAACAGATGAGGCGTTTTTGCAGTCACAGCAGATCCTCGTTGAAGGGTACCCACCAGCATAGTCCAAGGGCTATCAAATGGTACGTGCCTTGATTTGGAATCTTGGAAGCACACATCGACAGCCCTTGAAAGTGTCTGTGAAAAGGAAAGCCAAAACAAGCACGCTATTTTCGGGATGCTGGGGTCCCCGCCAATAGGGTTTTGAGCCGCAAAATGAGCTTCGTAGGGGCTCTCATACCATTTGAGGCCCTCAAAGATCACGAGCGTGAGAGTATCACCTTTTCCTATTTTGAACTATGCCAATATGGCCATGAATTTTGACAGGGAACCACCTCAAAAGTGATTGGTGGACATGAATCCCCTAAAAATTGTCCACCAAAGGGTCCCTTATTAAGATTCATAGCCAATGAAATGACTTGAAAGTCCAGTTCGCCGTGCTGAGGTCTCGCTGTGTGAGCCTGTATGTGTGCATGTGGTGTTGGCAAATTCCCGCAGGAATTTGAGGTGGCGATTGGAGTTTCTCTTTTCCTGGATTCTCCCTCAAATGAGACCCCAAATGAATTTGCTCAAATCAGGGCATGGCTTTCCTGGCTTCTTCATCTTGAGCTTCCCTCATTCGAGACATACCCCGTGCCAGCGGGCCCCCCAACGGCCGCTTTTTCAACCATGATTGCCTTTGGGACAGCTTGCTAGGAGTTGTAAGCATAGTTGACAAGGCAGCCGTTGGGGGAGGGGGGGAGGAGGTTGCCATGATTGGTCGTTCGGGATTTTGACTGGTTGCTATTTGGTTTGTATTCCACCATTTCTTTTGGGGGGAAAGGTCTTGTGTGTGTGTGTGTTTTCCGACTACCCCCTACAGACCACCATCAAATGTGCGGACCAAGAAGTCAAGCATTTTGGGGGCACCAGCCACATTGAGGGTCGCAACTCGTCCGACTTTTCTCAGGTGGTACTGGTCACCAACGCCGAGCGCGGCTGGATCGAGCTGAGTTGTAGTGGCACCCAGGTCTTGGGGTTGACAATAGGCGACTTTCCCAAGGTCACAGGTCAGGGGAGACATATTGGGAGCCCAGTTTCTCCCTTGCCCCGGTTTTTAGTGGAGAGGTCGCTTTGAAACATAACACTGCACCAAGAAAGGATGCACCTTTTTCCCACACTGGAGGATACTGGAGGTCTGGGTTGCTCAAATGATGGGCTTCCCAGTAGGCCGCAGCGGGGTTGATTCCTTTTCCATTCTTTTCAACCATCGTTCTTTTCAAAGACCGGCTGTTTCCCCTGCGTTTTTGTATGGTTTCCTGAAAAGAAGAATCCCTGGAAAGAATGGAAATGGAAGGTACCCCTAGAGAAAAGGTGTTCTTGAAGGGCTCTCCCGCAGGCCATGGCCGGCTTTTTGGCCAGCACTTTTGCCTTTTGCTGGGCGAAAGCAGTGGTTGAGGGCCGTTCGAATGAATTGACAGGTGTCCCTGAATGCCTGAAGTCCCAAATTGTTCACCGCCGTTTCCCGTTCAAAATTGAGAAATCCGAATGAAACCCAACCCCGGAATGGAACGCCACATGGCTGTGGGTCAAAAGATATGTACAAAAATGGCCCCTTGGTAAATGAAGCCAAAGACTACAACCTGCGTAACCCTAGCTCTTTGGTTTTGAGCCACAACCACATCCCATGGGATCGGCTGGGTTCAAATTTGGCCGACTTGAGGTCAGAAGTTCATGCCTTCGCTCTATGTCCATCTACAGGAGTCACCGGGGCCGGGTGGCAGGCGCCTTGGAATTTCCGTCCAATGCATTTTTTTGTGTGGGAAACCGTAGATGGGGAAATTTTTAAGGGGAAGCCAAGTGGTCCTAAGGCTCACGTGAGCCAATCTTGCGGTTTCCCAATCAGCCAATGTCGAGGCCTGATGGAAAATTGGGAACGACCGTGTGCACACGGTGCAAATGGTTGTTTCAGGCCTCTTGGCGAGTTTTCTTTTGCGCATAGGGATGGCCCTGTTCGGTATTTCATGCCTATCCACATGAACTGAAGTCATCAACGTCTAGTGTCAGGGGCCCGGCCCTTGGGTGAACCAGGCCCATGTGTCAAATAGGGCCTTGCACCGGACCCCCCAACTTGGTGCTTTTCCTCTTGGCTTTTGAACCAGCCTGAAAGGGTGCCCAAAACGAAGAGAGACAAACCTACTCGGGAAATTGAACACGGGAAAAAGTAAGGCAGGTGGGGTCCCTCATCCGATTGTCCGGCATCCGTAGGTGCCATAAACGGGGGTGCTCTGAGAACGGGGGCACTGAGAATTGCAGAGCGCCTTCCCTGCTAAACCATCCAAAAAGGGCACCCTCGGCAACATACCGTAGCTTTGTTGCATTTTGCTTGTATGTTAGGACAGCTTTTTGCCAATGAATGGGTTTTCCATTAAACCACCAAAAGTTAAACTTTCTGCAGGGGAGCAGAAAGCAGCTGAGGTAGGGCTGTCCGCCAGGACGTAAGACTCTTCTCCGCTCGCTCGACCTATGAAGGCCAAGGCCGGAGTGGCTGCATTTCGGCCGAGTTGTTCGGCCTGAAAATGACGGGCGTTGCTTGCGGTTGCTGGCAGCTTGGAAACCTTACAGGTTCTTGAATCCCAAGAGCTCCTACAAAAGGATTCTGATGGCACCTTCATGTCGGTTCATCTTCTCTTTACCTTGTATTATTTGGATTGTTTGTTTGTATCTTCTAATTACCTTTCCTAACCTTATGAATCTTCTTTTTGGACAACAAACATAAAATAGATGAATTTCTATAATTTGCTTTTATTACATTTAGAAAATAAATATAAACAAACAATAAAAGAAAATAATAAAATAGAAATAACTCGCAAGTCACGTGTGGTCAGAAAGCCTTACAATGTCTTGAATCCCTGGGTCCATGACCACGTTTTGACCCAAGACTCAGTTGTTCAAAGCCGACCGTTTGACCTTTTGGTTTTCCCATTTTGGTCCATATTTAGTCATGGCCCCAAAAGGTTAACCTTTTAGTTCCAGGTCCTTTGGGCAACTGAGAAGAGTGCACATGAACTGGGATTTCAAGGGGCGATTCAGATCCAGCAACCATACTTAGACGGTCTGGGACTTAGCAAAATGGTCCGCGACCCTTGTTATCACCCAGCTTCGTACAACTATGGTAAGTGGGTTATGACCATGGCTATTACAAGTCCCGGTCATCCAAGATGAAGGTTCTTAGGGGGCATTCCCAACCATAAATAGGTGCAGAAGTCCGCCCCCTTGATTCTATGTGCATCTTTTTGGGCAGACCAAGTATTGATTACAACTCGTATGCTATGAACCGAGATCTCCTCCCATATAATTCTACATTTCTAGCAGAAGTGTGTGTATATATATATATATATACATACATATATATATATATATTGTGATGTAGGAGGATGGCTTGGCAAGGATGTGCCCCGCTTGGCCATAGTACTTGGTTCTACCTCTTATTGTTGGTGAGTTTCTACAATCTGTCCAGACCGTAGAACCAAAAGTCTGGCTTTTGGACACTCAGTTTGTGGAGGTACAGTCTCTCTCTCTTACTATCTCTGCCCCTCTCACTCTCTTTGTCTCTCTTCGTCTCTCTCTATTTTGCTCTTCTATACTCTGATTGCTCTCGTTCTTATGTGTTTCTTTCTGTGATATGATAGTATCCGTGTTTCTTTGATTTTTCTTGTGTCTCTTTCTTTTGCAGCCACGAGTGTCCTTTCTCCGTTTTTCTCCTTGGCATGTCTCGTATTTGTTTTCCTCGCTATATGTTTATTATAGTATCTCAATGTCTATCGCTTGCTTCGCTCTCATGTCGGTTGTTTTTTCCTTCTCCGTGTCCCCTTGCTGCAAATAGCTGTTCTCGTTGTTGTTTGTTCACAAATGTTGTGGGTTCCCGCTCTTCCTTCTCGTCTGTCTTTGCTCTTTCTCCTATGAGTGCTCTCTGACAATGTCAGGATGTTGCCCAAGACACGCATTCTTGGGAAGGATTCAGAGGGCAAACCGGCAGCCGAACCAACGACTTCACAGGCAAAGGCATTAATGCAAGCTATTGCTCTCTTCCGTCTATTCAAGCAACCCTTCGTGGGCAGAGAGCCAATGGGAAACCCCCCCAACCTCCAAGTTACCGTCCAGACCGCCAATGAAGCTCGTTAAACTGAAGCTGATTCCGGTC